CAAGGCACGGACATGCGCCACACACCTGCACATCCCCGCACCTGCACACGCGTGTGCCTCCTGGCTGTGAGTGTGCCCCACCTGCACATCCCCGCACCTGCACACGCGTGTGGTTCCTGGCTGTGAGTGTGCCCCACCCGCACATCCACACACCTGCACACGCGTGTGGCTCCTGGCTCTGCGTGTGCCCCACCTGCACATCCCCGCACCTGCACACGCGTGTGCCTCCTGGCTGTGAGTGTGCCCCACCTGCACATCCACACACCTGCACACACGTGTGCCTCCTGGCTGTGAGTGTGCCCACACCTGCCAACATACGCATGTACAAGGCATTCATGTGTGCACCCGCATGCAGGGTCACGGCAACCTGCACATGCACATGTAAGACATGCCCGTGTATGTGCACACACCTGCACTGCCACAGAGCTGCACAGCTGCACACATACAAGGAGACACACCCATGTGGCCCATGTGTGCACAGACCTGCATACTTCATACACACCTCGACAGACACTTCTGCACAATCACACACCTGCCAGACATGCAAACCCAACAAACACCCCTGTGTGTGTGCACACATGCATGGTCACACACCTCCACACGTATCTGCAAGGCTCCCGTGTGTGCAAACACATGCATGTGTGGTCACACACACCTGCAGGCATACATCAGAGATTCATGTGTTTGTTTGCACACGTACATCTGCACAGTCACACACCAGAGCACAAACATGCGAGAAATGCCCATGCATGTGTGCACACACACAAATGCTTGGTCACATACCTGCACACATATGTGTGAGGTGCTCATGTGTTCATGCACATGCATGCATGGTCACTCACACCTGCACACACACATGCACAGGAATGCAAACACACATGCAAGACACGCTTGTGTGCACACACCTGCACAGGCATACGTGCACATGCACACACAGGTCAGCTCTCACACACACACACACACACATTTGCACACAGACACATGGACATGCAAAACCACACAAATCACATTCACATGTGTAGGTTCTCATGTAAGTGTAAATGCAGTGCACACTGACATTTGTACACACAGGTGTGCACACACATGTACACACACACGACTGCATACACATGGAAGCACATCCAAACACATGCATGTACACCCAAACCTGTACACATACACTTCCCCCTGTACACACATGCACAAACATGCACATGAACAACTGTGAAAATACACCCCCATGCACAACACTATGCACAGTGTTCACATGTGCAAGCACATACGTGCACACTACATAAATATGAATGTGCACACAGATATGAACACACACACAACTAGACGTGTCTGCCCACTCACATGTGCACATGCACACTTGTATGCACAAGCACATGCCCCTATACAAATGCATGCACACATGTGCACATACACACAGTCACACACACACATGTCCAGTCTCACAAATGAGCACATGCTGTACACATGGATGTGAACATGTGAACCTGTGCACCCATGCACAGATAGATATAGATACACAGATAGATACAGATAGATGTAGACACAACAGGGGTGTGCTTCCATGTGCATACACTCATGCACAGATGCTTGCACACACGTGTGCACATATGGGAGCTGCCCATTTGTGTGCACACATATGTGCAGACACACATACCCACACATTTTATCTCTTTTATTTTGCCTCTTTTGCAGTTGAAAACCCAAACCAAAACATCCCCCAGCCACCTCCTGCTGAAGGCTTCCTCTGAAATCTGATTCTCATGGTGGAATCACAGCCCCAAATCCCACCCTTCTAGCCTTGCCTGCACCTTCACCCCATCCATTATACCAGCCGTCCAGCCCTTCCTCCATCCCTCCATTTCTCCATCAGTCCCTCCATCCCTCCCTCTCTCCATTCCTCCCTTTGTTTCTTTATCCCTTCATTCCTCCATCACTCTATCACTCCATACCTCCATCTTTCCATTCATCCCTCTATTTCCATCCCTATATCACTCCATTCCATTCTCCCACTGTCCCTCCATCACTCCCTCAACCCCTCTATTCTTCTCTGCATCTTTCTCTTTATTCCCTGGTGCCAATAAAGTCCATTTGCACTCAAATCACATCTATACTTGAAGCCCCCCAGCCTTTGTCAGCCTTGTGGCACTGCCAGCATTTCCACTGAGAGCAGAACTCCAATAAAACCAGTGAAATTCACACACCCAAATGCTGAATTACAAAGAGAAAAAGCAATTCCCACTCATCAGTGACTGCAGCTGCTGGGAGTTCAGTGAAAGACGGGATTACCCCTGCGGGGATTGCTTCTCTACTACAAAGCACTGTATCCCCTTATTGATTCTTAACCCCTGAGGATTTTGGGCTTGGGTTTGATTTTTTTTCTTTGCTTGTCTTTGCCTGGAATGGCTTAATTAAATTCTTACCTGTAGGCAGATTGTGGAAACTCATTTTATGGATGGTATTTGAGCCCTCAGTGCTGGGGATAGATGGTTCAAAGAGCTGCTTTTGGAAAGAGAATAAATAAGTATCAACCAGCAGTGTCTCTATATAGACATTGCTTTGTCTTCCAGAATTATATCATTCCTGCTATTACATCCAGTGCAATTAAAAGGGAGGATTACAATTAAAGATTTAGGAAGCTCCTCAGTATTTCCCAAGTTGGGACCCAAGCCATAGTGTTCTGGGCCATCAATACACCATGTATCACCTTTGTAAGTGTACAGTGTACTTCTGTGCTCATCTCTGCTTAGGCTGGGTTTTGAAACAGAATCACAGGATCATTGAGGTTGGAAAAGTCCCCTAGGATCACTGAGTCCAACCATTCTGTCAGCACTGCCAAGGCCACCACTAAACATGTCCCAAATGCCACATGTACATGGCTTTTAAATCTCTCCAGGGATAGGGACTTCACCATTGCCTTGTGCAGTCTTTGCCACAGCTTGACAACCCTGTCCATGAAGAATATCCAATCTAAACCTCCCCTGGTACAACTTGAGACCATTTCCTCTTGTGTTGCTTGTTACCTGGGAGCAGAGCCCAACCTCCACCTGGCTCCAACCTCCCTCCAAGGAGTTATTACAAATGGAGATGAGCTTAGACAAGTTCTGTCTTTGACTCAGATTTCTGGCAGTAGCTCTGTTTGGGGGGGCCTGCACCCAGATTGCTTGTTTGCAAGTTCCTAATAATGTCTGATTAGGTCTATTGCAAAATGAATTATTTATTGAATAGACACAAAATTAACAGACATAAGACTTTGAACAGTCTTTCTACACAGGGTAAACAAAAAAGAACTACTAGTAGATAAAATACATAATCCACAATTAAGTACCTATATTACAGCTAGCTAAGAAATAGTGTAGATTAGGATTCAATATAACTACCAGATTGATGATGGAGTACACATAGAATTCTTTCACTCATTTTTCGGGAAAGTATCCACATTATTTGCATCCAAAATCTAGGGAGAAGTCCTACATAGTTCCCAGGTGTGTGTGTGTATGAAGCTTCTGCCTCTGTAAAAGTTTGTGTAGCTTTAATAGTTTGTAACATAAAGTGTCTGTCAGTCAGGAATTCCAACTTATCTCCCCAGTCTTGTTCTCAAGGCAGTTGTTTATTGGGATTTCCACCCCTGGGGCCAGAGAGAAGTATCTCACTAGCTAGGCAAGCTGGCCTGGGTTGTCTTGTCAATTCATGTGGGGGTGGGGGGAGAATGTCTGGAGCTGTCAAACCATCTGATGGACAGAGCAGATGAGCTCTTCTGTGGTAGTGGGGGAAGTCCTGCCACAGGAGTTGAAGACAGTGAGAAGGTTCCACATATACACCTTAAACCATCTATGGGACCCATAGAATGACAATTTACTTATGACTTTATTCAAAAAAACCTCAAAAATCAAATATTTTAAGGACATTGTTAATACAAGGATGTGTCACTTCTAATCATATACTACAATATGACATGTAAAAGCTAAGACAAAGAGATGTTTCCTTTGATAATTTTGAATTAGTTTGATTGTAAAAAAAAGGTAAATAGTACTTTCAAGAGAGTCGTATCTATAAATATGCATAGATATAGTTATTTACAAGTTATTTATATATCATTAGTTATTTAGCTAAGGATAGTTAACAAAGCCAGCTGTTCTATGAGTCATTACTGAAAGACTTCTTTTAAAGATATGATAGGGAAGCCTTCCTAGTCTGGACAGGCTCTGCAGTGCTGGCCTCTGTCTTCCCCTGCTCTGCTCGCAGGATGGCTGTGTCCTCACATGGGGTACCATGTGTTACATGCGGTCGTGGGTTGGAGACAGATTCATGACTTAAGTCCAATGATCATGAGATAAAAAGGCTGTTTAATTGTTCAGAACTTCTTTTTACAGGGGGTTTAAATTTACTGGGCTTAGACAACTGATTGGTCTGGGTCTTAACACCGCCCAGCTCCTTGACCAGTGATATGTCTGCATTTGGATTAGATGGGACTGGTTGAGAGTCCCTTGTGTAGGTTTGAATCCAATCTATCTTTACCTTTTCCAGGGATTTTACTTCTAGGCTGGTTGAGTTTGGGGGTCTGATATGGCCAGATTAATCTGGCATCTACAAACCAACTGCACAGTCACAATTTTTGAGAGCGTGAACCCCATCTTGACCTGTGAACTGCTGCCCACAGAGGCCCCACATATGTTTCTGGAGTTTCATTCAGAAAACCTTTTGAAGTGCATCTGTATTGCTGTTTCAGGACTTGTTGCACTGAGAGCTGTTAGTGAAATGAGTTGTTCTTAATATAACAGCAAAGTTTTGTGGGAAGAAGGACATGGACCTGTTGGAATGAGTCCAGAGGAGGCCACTAAGATGATCACAGGGCTGAAGCCCATTTATTCTGGAGACAGACTTGGAGAGCTGGGGCTGTTCAGTCTGGACAAGTAAAGACTGTGGAGACCTTAGAGGCCCTGCCAGTCCCTAAAGAGGTTCCAGGAGCTGAAGAGGTGTTGGGGTCAGAAACACAGAAAATAAGCCCTTATTTGTTGTGCCTGGCTCTAACACCCAAGAAAGCACTGAGTTTAGCACAACATGGAGACAGCTTTTTAAGTTAAGCAGAAAAACTGGGAATGTGAGTGTGTAAGTAGACAGAGTTTTCTTAAATCACTGGGTGAGAAAGTTAGTTTAAGGCTTCGGCTATGTTAGAGAATAAAAGACAATAAGGAGGATTTAGGCCGTTGTCCCTTTCTCCTTCTTCTTCCTTCTTCATCTTCTTCTAAGGGTTTTTGGGTAATAATGAGTGATTGGATAAAGAAATCTGCAGTGCAGTACACAGGTGTTGGGTCAATGGGTGACTAAGAAAAATAACTTAATTGGCATTTGATTATTGGACAAATAGACATATAAAAGACCTTAGGGAGATTCTTCGCTTTCCATTTTGCACCTTTCTATCTCAGTGTATGTAGCTCCTTGTACTCTGTATATATGTAATATAGATAAGGAAAGAATAAACAACTAAGCCTGAACATGAGAAAACAGTCTCTCTCTCATCAGTCTCGGTCCTGGGAAAAAAGAACCCACCCACCAATGTCGCACCCTGACAAAGAGGGACTTTGGACAAGGGCCTGGAATGGCAGAACAAGCAGGAGCGGCTTCCCACTGACAGTGGGAAGGGTCAGGAGGGGTATCAGGGAAAAATTCTTGTCTGTGAGGGTGGTGAGGCCCTGGCACAGGTTGTCCAGAGAACCTGTGACTGCCCCATGCCTGGAAGTATTCAAGGCCACACTGGATGTGGCTTGGAGCAACCAGGTCTAGTGGAAGATGTCCCCACCCTTGGCAGAAGAGTGGAGTAAGATGATCTTTTGAAGTCACAAACCATTCTGTGATTCTGAGATATTAGTGTGTTCTGGAGGGTGCAAGCCTGTATGAATACATTGCAACATCTCCCATTCTGGAGCTAATCCATGTCCTAGCTCTGCATTCAGCAGTGCCATCACGCAGGGGTTTGCACGGCATCTTGAGCATGTTTGGGGACTGGGGATTGGCATGTGCACGAAGGGCTTTTGAGCCTCTTTTTGAGAGTCCCTCATCTGCAGCAGGCCTTGGCTCAAGCCACATGGAAATGCTCAGTCATGCATTAATCATCTTTATTTATAACAAACATCATGGTCAAAACTGCCTTGTGAGGTTTTGCAGCATCAGGAGACTTTGCTGCTCTGCAGATACCGTGCAGACCCAGCTGGTGTTAGAAGCTGCAGAATTTTAAAAATTGCTTAGTGTCTCAGTGGAATATATGACTATATTTCTATATCTATATCTGTATCTTTATCCTGAAGCATGGTTGCTCATTCTTGTTCAGGAATCAGCTATGGAAAAGCATCATGAAGTAAAATCCATTCACTCTAATCAGCGTAATTGATGTGTTGGCTGCAAGCATCTCTGAGAGAGGATGGGAGTGAAAAAAAAGAAAAAAAATCTGTTTTTAAATTACAACCATCATGGCAGGAAGGAGGAATTCCTTCTCCAGCCTCCTCTGGAGGTGATACCACATTGTGGGACATGAGGAGGTGGTCAAGGACATGGGTGTCATACAGCACCAGACTGTATCAGTCTGGGGCACAATCCTGCCAAAAAGTTCACTATTAGGAAGAAATTCCTCCCTCTGAGGGTGGTGAGGCACTTGCACAGATTCCCCAGAGAAGCTGTGGCTAATCCATCCCTGGAAGTGCTGGACAGGGCTTGGAGTAACTTAGTCTAGTGGAAGACGTCTCTGTCCATGACAGGGGGTGGAACAGGATGATATTTAAGGTCTCTGTCAACCCAAACCAGTCTGTGATTGTATGATGATGCTAAAGGCATGATGGTGTGGTACAAACCAGAGCAAGACCAATATTTTGCAACCCCCAAAATCATCTCTGACTTTGAGCAGAGCCCCAAGCAGTGGTTCCTTTTCCTATCCATGCTGGGATCCACTGGTGTGGAGGCAAGG